ATCATCTGATACACCATCATATTTAAATATAGCGCACAATTTTAGAAAATTGACAAGATGTAACTTTGGATCTTCAGTTGATGCTCCCTCTAACAGATTATTTGATATCATTTAGATAATAGTAGGTTTAAGCTCAAATGAATTAGCCACTAGAGTGGGCTCTAGAATACTACATTGAAGTTCATCCACCGTAGGGTTTGCATGATCTTTAAAGTTCTAAATTCTTCAATATTTGATTATTTTGATTTGTTATTTCTTGAAAATTTTCAGTAATTTTTAATTTTTTAATTTTTCTAATAGTATTTTTCTAATTCAAAATCATAAGGCAAAAGTCTCGTGTAACCTGAACTATGCATACATTACTATAAAACACATAAAATAAAATAAAGTGAAAAATAAAAACACACAAACAAGAACTTTATATAAAAACCACACAACAATATTCCTAAAATAAATCTTAAAGTTTAAATAAGACTTACTAAAAATTTTGTTTTCTGAAAACTTCTTTTAAAAATATTTTTGCAAATTACTATTATATTTCTCCTCCTCCCCGGCAATGACGCCAAAAATTTGATCCTGATTTTCTATATATATTGATGTAAAATGCGATGTATGCAATTATATAATTAATTTCTTTAATAGATGTTCTTAGTTTACAAAAAAGCCAAAAACTTGATCTAAAGGAAAAGCTAGGTAAATCTTTCAGTATAAAGCAAATAAGAATGCAGTTATAATATTTTTATATGGGATACTACTGAAGTATATGTATCGTTATCAAGTAATATAGAACTTTCCTATTAAGTCTCAAATATTGAACCTACAGGAAGGACTAAATTTAGATAACAAAATTTTACTTAGTATTGTATTCTTACTTAAACTTAAGGTGCTAAAATAGGAATGAAAGTTTGATTCTTTTCGTAATTTTTTATAATTGAAAATAAAGTAAGCAACTAATTAACTTAACTAAAATACTTGCAAGATTAAGGTAATATAAATAAAATATTTTTTCCTTATTATGAATCAGAGATAAATATAGAAATTTTGTTGTGAAAGTATGGTAAATGTGTTGTGCCAAATATGAGCAATAATATTCTTTACCCTTACTAAAGATGCTATAAAGAACATCAGCTAATCTATAATTTGAATAGTCTTGAAGACCGGCTAGACAGGAAAAATACTAGCTCTCACTCTAGAGTTCCCTCCTCTCCCTCCACCTGGGGGCTAACATCTCGTATCAAAACCTAAAACTATAAATCAAATTGGGGGTTTTAGCCTGTCACCCTAAAGTCCTCTAATTCTACACTCTTGAAAAGGTTTACTTCTCTATTTATTTGCACTCAACCCCATCAACTACATTCTCATTCATAAAATCAATATGTGATTCAAACCATTTGTTGACTAATACAATACCATCTCGGATCTTACATGTTCTCACAACATGTATTAACATCTTAATTGGTCAAATCAGGAAGAAAATGAAGTTCAAGATTTTGAATCATCACAACTTCTTCCAACAATGAATTCTAATACTTCACACAACTTCCTTTAAATATTTAATCACTTATCATTTTAAGGAAAAATATAAAGATAACTACTCAGAATATATGGAGAAAACACAACCACACATGAGTTTTAAAAGTAGAAATCATGCACACAAACAAGAAATCTAAATTAAAACTAAGTGTAATGAAGTTTTGAATTTTCTCTTCACCAAATGTCATGAAGTTTAAAATAAAGGTAAACACTTATCTCAAATTAAATTAAAATCATGCACACAAAGATAAACACTTATCTCAAATTCTCTTCACCAAATGTCATGAAGTTTTGAATTTTCATCCTTCTCTCACAATACAAAATAACACTTAAAATAAAATAAAATAAAATAAAGGTGGTCGGCGACGACGGTGGTGATGGTCGGCGGCGGTTGTGGCGATTGGCGGCGGCGGCATGGCAATGGGCGGTAGCAGCGGTGATGTAGATAGATGATGGCTATAAAGTTTGATGGGTGGCTGAACTCTCTTTCTAAAAAATCTAAGTTTTTTTCTTATAAAAATCTAAGGGGTGTCTTGGTGCCTCTTCAAAAAGATGTCTCCATTCAATGAATCTTCTAGAAGCTGTTTCCTTAAAATCCAATTGAATGAATTTTCGTGTCCATGGGCTATTTCCCATGTTTTAATCAAGGGTTTCTTCAAACACCTCTTCAAAAATTTGCTCAAATTAAATAAACCATCAAGTAATTGCTTCTGGTGCTTAAACACGGGGTACTTGGTGCTTAGGT